CTCGTCAACTATAGTCCTCAAACCACCGTCACCCAACTATGATCCCTACCACCATCACCGCCCAACTACATTCCTTCCAACCACAGTCCTTAAGCCACCAATGTCTGACTACAATCCTCAAAAAACCATCATCAAACTACGATCCCTTTAATCCCAATAAACCATCATCCTTAGTCACCAAACTACAGTCCCTTCGGCCACCGTTACCTGACTACGGTCCTATACCGACCAAACAAATAGGCCAACATTCTTTTGAGAATAACTCTCATGTTAGTGGCTTCCTCCAACTTTAACCATATAATGTGCTCTATATGATGTATATTTTCTATATTGAACCAACATCTTCCCTTGAGAAAGAATATTATTTATAATCAACGATAAATACTAATAGAATCATTTTAATTGGGTCAGACCTCGTAATTTTTTTCCTTTATTGGATTTTTCACGTAGAAAATATGGTGTCTCTTATGATTGTTGCACCCCTCTCTTTTCTATCTGTGTTAGATTTTTCGTACAAAACTAAGACATTAAACTGTCTATATATCTTTATCACCGCATATATTATGGTGCACAATAATGCTTCTTGCAAATAATATGTTAAAAATAAGTTTACTTTGTGAAAGATTGTTTTATTTGTTGATGACTAGAACATTCGCGACAGTAAAGAGATATAAAATCTAATGTCTTAGATTTATACAAAAATCCAGCACACAAACATATAAAGAGAATGGTGTGAGAGACATAAGTGACATAAATATTTTTTACATGGAAAACCATGAAAGGGGAAAAAATTACGGGGGAATGGACCAGTTGAAATGCTTCCACTAGTGTTTATAGTCAATTACAAATGATGACCTTCATCGGGGGAAAGGCTTCGGCTCATTGTATCATATAGAGCACATTACATAATTAGGGTTGGAAGAATCCAATGATAAGAGAGCCATTTACAGTAGAAATATGGCATGTTCATTTGGTTGGTAGGACGAAGGAGGTTGAAAGTTTTGCGACCCATGACCCCGAGTTTGAGATTTTGATGATGATAAATAATGTCGCCTGAATTACTATTCATTGAATATCATTTATTGTTTGCTATTGTCCGTGAGTACTAACATTTCAGGAAGATTACAAGCTACTCAGGACAACAGGAAGACTCAAGACTGGTTAGACTAGGAGTATGAGTCTGACAATATAATTTGTTATTTATTTTATTTTTTATTTTCTTGAGTCTGGACACAAACTGCATATAAGTCTGAGGAACCATGCACACACATAGGGGAGAGGATTTTAAAAGTAAAAAATGTAGATTTTCTTGCTCTAGTGATCGTACTGTACGACTTTATTTCATACAATACGATATGAGCTTGTAAAATAATTTCTCTGAATAGATCGTACCGTACGAATGCTATCGTACTGTACGATGTGTTCCAAATCCAAAACCCTAGTCGTCAAATTAACTTAAGTAAGTTTTTCTCAGACGTTCGTACTGTACAATTTATTTTAAATACTTACTTAAATTAACCCGTGATTAGTAGAATAAATCAAGGCTTAATTACTAATTGAAATTTGAAATGTACGAATACATTCGTACTATACAATGAATAGAGACAAATTATAATCGTCCCGGAGATCGTCCTAGACAATCCCTTGTTTTTGTCTCATCGTAGGTACGATGTTTATCGTACCCTACGATGAATAGAGACGACATTTGATCGTCCCAGAATTCATCCTAGATGATGCCTTAAATTTGACCATTCATACTATACGATGTATATCGTACCATACGATGTACATAGACGACATTTGATCGTCCCGGCTATCGTCCTGTACGAGCAGTAGTGTTGAGGATCATATCTGGCGATTTATTATCGTATTGTACGATTATATTTTGAACTGTTCATACCCCTTTGTACCAGGACGAGGCATGTTATACATATTGTACTGTACGATTTGAAATCGTACAGTATGATTGTAACAGCTACTTTGAATAATTCAGGGATTTTAGAGCCTGTTTTAAGTATCAAATTAGTAATATTTTTTAGAGAGACAGAAAGAGGGAAACGTGGTTAGAGAGGGAATCCTTGGGAGAGAGCTCTTGAGAAGTTTTTAGGGTTTGAGAGAGGAAGGAGAAGGTGAGCTTGGTGAGGGAGAAGAGGTGTGATGGAGATCACACGGTTGCTCCGTTCTTGTTGCATCTTGCTCCTCCTGTGGCCCGAGAAGAACTTGTGGGAGGCTCTTTGAGGGAGAGACTCTTCTACATCCGTGACCTCGAAGGTATTCTGCCTTCTCCAGGAGGAAGAAAAACGAGAAGGTTTTCTCCCGTCGCCAGGAGGGTGAAAACAGCGCTTGGCACTCCGCCACGCCGGGTTGGTGAAACGGAGTATTGTAAGGGCTTCTCCGCCTTGCCGAGGGGGGCAAAAGGAGAGCTATAGTTTGTAGTGAAATTCCCAGAGTGGAGGACTCCGGGGAGTGGACGTAGGTCATGGTTTGACCGAATTACTATAAAATTCTGGTGTGCTTTTTCCTTATCGTTGTTTACTTTGGTTCCACTTAATTTTCTTAATATTTGCTTGGTGAAATTTGTGGAAGAAAAGGGTTTGATTGTTGCACGTTGAGTTCAATTGTTTTCCTTTATAGTAATTTAAATTTTCATGTTAAAAATTTAAAAACATCAAAAAAAATTAGAACTCCTGCTTATGTTTTAATTATTGCTACAAAGTTTTCACAATTCATCCCCCCCCCCCCTCTTGTCGATCTAGTTATTTCAGAAAGGACCATAGTTGGTGTCCTACGGATGTCAAAGGGATCGTAGTTAGCTTGCCATGGAAGTCAAATGGACTAAAGCTGGTGGGCGACGGTGGTCTGAGAGATCGTAATTGGCAGGCAATGGTGGTCGGAGGGACCGTACTTAGCAGCCTGGCAGAGGATTGACAATGGTTGGCTGCAGGAGGATGTCCAATGTCTTTTGGCAGCCGGGGGAAGTGTGGTGGTGGTCGACTTCCTGGTGGTGGTCCGATGATGGTCGGGTGAAAGTCTAAAGGTAGTCGACGACCAGGTGAAAGTCTGGCGGAGCTCAGAGGCCGCACAATGGCCCAGCAATGGTTGTGTAAAAGTTTGGTGGTGGTCGGCGGCCAAGAGGTAGCTTGACGGCGATCTGGCGGAAGTCAGGCGACGGTTAAAGGCCGAGTAGAGGTTCGTCAGCGGTGGAGCTGGAGCTCTTGAAGCCTCATAGCTCTCTTCAATCTCCAGCCCTAGCCTCCCCTCTCCCCTTTATGTAGAAAGTGAGAGTCTATTTATAGATTTTCATGAGTGGCACACCCCATAAATATATAGAAGTTATGAGACATGTTTCGAGTGCCCCATCAAATGACCCGTATATTGTTTTTTAAATGTTTAAGTCCCTTAATAATGTAAAAATTCAATTATCTTGATGTAGTTGGATTTGTCTTGCCAAGCTGCTCGATTTGAGTATAAGCATGTTATTTTTGGATATCATTTTGTCATCCAAATAATACTTTGAACATTTCAAATGTGGTTCGGGCCGATGATTTGGACCCATTTGGGTTCAGATTGGACCGATTTTGGTGTTGTTAGGTTCGTCTTTTTGAGACGTTCAATTTGATTATAAGTTTACTAAAATTGGAATTCATATGGTCCCAATTTTATTTTTATTTTTTTGAAAAATTTTAACTAGAATACGCCTCACGATTCGTGAAGGATCAACACAATTTTTGGTGTAGTATCATTACTAAATCAATTATAATAAATTAATGCTTCATTTATGTTTTATTTCTTAAAATTTTTTACAAGAATTATACCTTTTTTTCAATGATTTTTCAATCACAAATGCTTATTGACCAACTCATTCAACCCTAGCTTAATAATGATGCTTTAATTTATGTAATTCAATTAAAAATAACATCAAGATGTTATCAAAGAAATCTTCACATTAATTGAGATCTCATATTGGTATTGCAATTGCAACATAAATCATAAATAGTGAGCGCTTTGTGTAGTGGGCCTTTCATAGATATGTTCAAAAATATAATATTGAAAAAAAAACAAAAAATGAAATATTCATACTAATTTTAAATAAAATAATAAAATTTGATGATATTTATATCATTAAATGTAAAAACTCATTGCAATATCATAAAAATCATGAAAATACTTTTTTAATATTGAACTATTGTAATTTATCATAACTTAAAAAAAAATTGATTAAAACAGCTTAAAATATCTTGAAATAACTTTAGAGCGATATGAAATTTTAGAATAATAAAAGTATTGGTAATGGGAGTAGGTAGCAATTAGAAAATAGAGTTAAAAAATAAAAATAAAAATAAAAAATAAAAAGGACCTTAGTTGAAAAGCTCTCATTTCATATGATCATTATTGGAATAATGACATTAATGTCACTTTAGTTAGGATTAAAAGCGGCATATTAATTAAAATTAGGGACACGCGGATGAGAGGAAGGAATTAATTAACATGTTTGGTGTTCTATAAAGCGTAGCAGATCGTATCGAGCGCCGACCATATCCATATCCGGGAGAGGATCTCGTTAATGGCCATGTGCGAGCCACGTGTGGCAATTTTGTTCGGCCACAATAGAAGGTGACTTACGTGTTCAATTGTTATCCACCATTAAGGATGGTAACAACCTGATCAAATTTCAATTTAAAATTGAATTAAAATAACTCAGAAATAGAATCAACTTAATTTTGAACTAATTCGGCTTTAATCAGTCAAATTTCAAGCTATTTCAAATTCTAATAGAAATGACTCAATTTTACTTTTAATATATATGTATATATGAAATTTTATAAATATTGAATTTTTTTAAGTAACTATTGAGTTATTTGGTCGACTACGATTCCGTTTGGGACGGCTTTCTAATTCCTTCTTAAATAAGACTTCTAAAAAATTACTTTAAGAAGTAGTAAGAAAACTGTCCTAAACGAAATTTTTTTTCTTTAATAAGGGCCAGTTTTTTTTTTAAATAAGGGCCGCGGACGCGAACCCCCCTGCCACAAATTATGACGTCCACTCTACTACTTGGGCATAGGTAGACCATAGCCCCTTCAAAGTACAATGAAAGTCTCTAGTCTATGTCACAGGCATTCATGATCACCCGTAAATACCCCATCCACGTAAGTATAAAGCCGTCCTAAACTAAGCCTAAAGCTTTGTTTGGGACGGTTTTTTAATGCTTTTTAAAATAGTTTTAAAGTATAAAATTTTTTTATTTTTTATACTAGAATGCCGCTTTAAGAAGCAGTAAGAAAGTTGTCCCAAACGATTACTGCTTCTTAAAGCGGCTTTCTATTACGAAAATTTTAATTTTTGTATTAAAAAATCATTTTAAGAAGTGGTAAGAAAGTCGTACCAAACAAAGTTTAAATCTGACTATTGAAAATTTTGCTTCTGCATATACGAACAAAAAAAAAATTTAGAAACACAAAAGTCAATCAACACATAAAAATATATGAATTTTTTGGATGTTCAACCAATTGATCGTTACATCAAGATTTAACTGATGCAAATTTTATTATGGAATAATTATAATTATTGAATATAGTGTAGAGAGAACAAGTATTAACATTAATGCAACAAATTTCAAAATGACCATAAGTTGAGCCATTGATAATTCAACATCATTGTTGGCTCAGTTGTTTGGTGAGTATCTTATCTAATCTTTTCTTTTAAGCTTTGCAATAACCATTTATTGATATAAATCCAAACAATTGAAATCTTTATATATTAATCTATATAAACCATTTATTGCAATATATGATACATATCAATGATACATAATATGTTAAAATAATAGTCATTAATGGTCCACATGATTTGACCATTTTCATTTAATTCAGCATTTAAAATGACCATTGCTCAATTTTAAATTTAGAAATTAAGGCAGATTGTTTCTTAATTTTAAATTCAACTTTTGAAACTGAAATTTTATTTATTGCTATGAAGAATATCAAATAATTTAGAACTTCTATATATTTGGGGTCCCTTTTAAACCACTAGTAGGGGTCTACACGTTATTGAAAAGAAATGTTACAAGTCCTTAAAAAATCCTAAGCTCTTTAAAAATACATCATTTAAAGCAAAACCAACGAGCTTTTGATTCAAACTAAATACAATATTCAAGCAAAAGAAAAGACAACAAATTAAAAGCCAGTACCATAAAGAGAACCACCCATGAGAGGGTATCAGGAAGAAGCTAATGCCAAAACCTCGAGAGGTCCAACAAACATCAACCTGCAAGAAATGAAATAACAAAGACAAGGCAAAAGGAGAAGGAAAACAAAAAATCCAACCAACCAACAAAAACAGAGCCAACCGACCACCACAGAGAGAACACACCACCCGGCCCCCAACCCAACACCTCAACCTTTTCCAAACCCAAACAACACAGTTGAACACCAATCAAATCCCACATTCTAGCCTTCAACCCAAAACACCCCCAGCCGAGCAAGCAAAGTCCAATAGGCACACCCAAACCCAAACAAAAATATAGAGCCCAATAATTGAAAGACTACAAAAACCAAATGAAAAAAGAACAATCTAAGAGGAGGGACAACAATAGAAGCAGGAACAAAAACAACAAGAATTACTTCTTTTTAGATTTTTCGCCTATGACATTTTCTACCCCCATGGATTTTTTTTTTTTCAAATATGCGATCCACATTCAAATTATACATTACATGAAACTCATCCTTCAGCCCATTGAAGTCTCTCCATCACCCCCGCAAGACGAGGAAAGAGACCCATCAAGCCAATCAGAATTGTCCACACAAGAATCCTTCATTTTCAATGTCAATTGAGCTTTCAAAATATCATTAGAAATAAGAGATGACGAAACATCAATAAGTGACACATTCTCATTCGCAACCATAATATTAGGTAACAAACTGATTCTAAAGAAGGCAAAGGCGATTCATCAGATGCAACAACCATTCCACTCGAGGAATTAAGCAAAACCTCCGTGTTAACATCACAAATCCCCATGCTCACCACATTCAACTTATCATGAGACAAACCAATATCATTTTTCTTTGTATCCTTCTCAACAATAAGCGGATAACCACAACCAGGCATGATAGACAATTTGTTAGCATTCTCAATAATAATACCCTCACAATCCTCTTGAATGGAACAAGCCAAATCCACTAAAGGCAAGACACATTAAAAGCCAAAATTACTGACAAAAATAACATAAGAGAGAAGAAAGCTCACCACCATGCAGTAGAGGTAAATTATCATCAATAATCTTATAAATGTCCCCACAAGCCTCCAAATTAGGACCAGCAACAGGGGAAGCCATAGGGGCATCTGAAACCAACAAATCGAGCTTAACCGAAAGCCCCACTTCAGCAAGCGAAGGATGAATCAAAGGCCCAGTATCCAAACGACCCTCAACTACATGTTCAACATTTTCATGCATTGGTAAGTGAATAGAAACAATGCTAACCTTATCACCCTAATAAAAGGAAAGATGGTTAACAATAGGGTTATGATCAAGATGTTGATGTAAAATGCTACATTCCAATTTCGAGTGGCCCAGCAATTTACAATGTGAATAGTAAGAGGGAAAAATTGGTAAGTGAATAGAAACAATGCTAACCTTATCACCCTAATAAAAGGAAAGATGGTTAACAATAGGGTTATGATCAAGATGTTGATGTAAAATGCTACATTCCAATTTCGAGTGGCCCAGCAATTTACAATGTGAACAATAATAGGGAAAAATCCTACATAACAACAGATTGAATGTAACCTAAGTTTTCTGAACCAACCCACACCTTAGAGGGAAAGTGTTTGGTAACATCTAACTCAATCAGAATGCAAGCAACGAAAGGTCAGGACTCAGGAGCCAGTAGAAATGGCATTATCAGCTTTAAGAGGCAGGCCAAAAAGAGAACCAAGACCATGAAGGATTCGAGGAGAAAGAGGTTAGGCCTAAGGTTGGGAAAACAGATCTAAATCGGAATAACGGGGGTTCAACTTCAATATAAAACGTTGGTGTCCATTTGAATACTTTCATAAAACAATTGTGCATAAAATAAGAGTGATGAGCAAACACTCTACAATAATTCATATCATTAACAAGTTTAATCAACACATGCTTCAGATTGAGATTAGTCACAAAAAAATTATCATTAAGCTTGAGAGGTTAAAAAAAATCATGATTGCATCAGTAGATGGTCTCCGACCTGAAAATTTCCCAACCAAAGCGAACTCAAATGGGGCAGCTGGCCCAAGAACTTCCTCTTCCGAAATCCACAATGACGGCAACCCACGGTGAGAAGTGAATTTGAGGTGAGGGAAGTTCGAGGAAGGAGAAACACCAGATAAAGCATCTTGAAAGGAATGGATAGAGTTCTTCCCATTCAAAAAACCAGCATCTTTCAAACATTTACCCACCATCAATACAAAAAACCAGACGAAGGAGAAAGAAAATTGGTTATTGCAAATCTTTCAAACATAGAATTCCATAAATGCAGTCATTTTAGAACTTTAAGGTCACCATAGAAATACAGAATGACTTGCAAGAATTCTCTGAAATAAACAATTGCTAATAATCCCTCGACTTGTAGGCCTAAATTGTCCATCAGAAGTGGTTTGCATAGTAAAGCTCAATTGGATGATGAATCACGAGAACTCTCTCAATGTTTTTTTTTTTTTTTTTTTTTTTTTTTTAATGGAATATATGGAGTGTAATTTTAGCAGTAATAGTCCTAGTGAGGGGATTGTGACTTTGGGAGATCAAGTTATTAATAAGAGTACACGTTTTAGATATCTTGGATCTATTGTTCAGAGTGATGGTGATATTATCAGCAGAATTCAAGTTGGATGGTTGAAGTGGAGGAATGCATCGGGCTTGTTATGTGATAGAAATGTACCCCTCAAATTTAAGGGAAAATTCTATAAGATGGTAGTGAGGCCTGCAATGCTTTATGGTGCCGAATGTTGGCCTTTAAAAGAGAAGCATAATACTAAGTTAAGTGTGGCAGAGATGAGGATGCTCAGGTGGATGAGTGGCTTTACCCTTAAAGATAGGATACGAAATGAGCATATACGTGAAAAGGTTGGAGTAGCTCCAGTAGAAGATAAGATTAGAGAAAGTCGCCTTAGATGGTTTGGTCACATAAAACGGCGGCCTTGTGATGACCCGGTTAGGAGAGTAGAGGTATTAGATTTGACTTATGTTAAGAAGGGTAGGGGTAGACCTAAAAAGACTTAGTTAAAAAGTATTAGGAATGACCTTTCTTTATTAGATTTAAACGAGAATTTGACTTTTAATAGGACACAATGGAGAAAAATGATTCATGTAGCCGACCCCACGTAGTGGGATAAAGGCTTGATGTTGTTGTTGTAATCTAAGTGTTCTATGTCTAACAAGCAAGTATAAGAATTGCAATCAGTTCTAGATCATTTTGTTTGGGAACGTTTCAGTTCTGGATTCAATCAGCAATTTCAAGGATTCAATCAGCCGAAGTTTTAAGTTTCAGATCCATCTGAACTTTATATTTGTAATAATATCTTGAAGTTCTGGATCATTTGTGAAACTAAAATGCAGTTACATATTTTACAACATTATAAAAGCTGAAATCTGCTACAATAGATAGGTTGTAGCATTTCACAAACTATAGGCAGCTATAGGTTACAACATAGAGGTTGAAATCTGGTACAACATATAGGTTACAAGAACTCTAATTATTGCATTGCTGCTATTGAATTACATCACATATTGAACTTTATACCTCTTATTCAACAGTTTTATATTGCATTGCAGCATATATTCTTGAAACATTATAGGTCTTTTGCTTACCAAGTATCTCATTTCCTCAGGTTGTTTCAGACATTACTAATAAATATGGCTTTCGAAGCACTTTTATTGACATACTGCAGTGATCAAAACATCTGCAAAAATTCTTGCAGCAATTTAGAAAGCGCTGCAAAACTATTGTATATGCGAGCGCTACAAACGACTTTTCCAACGGTTCAGATGCAGTTTTTGGCAGCACTTGCTTTAGAAGCAGTTTTAAGCGCTACTTTATGACTTATATCAGTTAAAACCGCTTCTAAAGGATAAAGTAAGTGAAAAAAAAAAAAATTTAAAAATTGAATCTTTCTAATCAAACAAAT